TTTCGAATTACTTTCAATCAACATTTCTGGATTCTTCGCTAAGTATACAATCACTGGACACACAAAATTTTGAAGATTCATCATCACACATATCCAATATAGTAATAGATCATAATGAATTGCTTAAATTACTTCAAACATTGGACACTGGTAAATCAGCTGGTCCAGACAAAATTCCACCCCTATTTCTGGTTAACTGTGCCAAAACTATTATGATTCCAATAAGTTTATTATTCAAAAAATCACTGCGTGAATGCGTTATGCCGCACTTGTGGAAGGCAGCATTCGTTACCCCGGTACACAAGAAGGGCTCTAAAAGTGAGGTGACTAATTATCGCCCAGTCTCGAAATTGTGTGTAATAGCTAAAGTATTCGAAAAAATTATTCACACTCAGTTATACAATGCACTGAGAGGTAGTCTTAACGGTTATCAACACGGTTTTATGAAGGGTAGATCGACTACTTCAAATCTTATTCTTTTGGATAACTACATCACGGAGAATATGAGCCAGGGTAAGCAGGTCGATGTCGTTTATACTGATTACAGCAAATGTTTTGACCGGATTGACCACTGCACCTTGATTTATAAGCTGGGTTCTGTCGGGATAAGAGGAGATCTCTTAAGATGGATTACCTCATATATATCTAACAGGTCACAAGCGGTAGCTATCAATAACTACATTTCGAGCTGGATTACAGTCCCTAGCGGCGTTCCTCAAGGTTCACTCCTAGGTCCTCTGCTCTTCACAATCTTTGTAAATGACATCGATAATTGCTTACAATCTGCTAATTTACTCTGCTTCGCCGATGATATGAAGATTTTTAAGGCTATTGCATCGCAAACAGACGTTCATGCATTGCAGAGTGACCTGCTGCGTATAGATGACTATTGCATTAGGAACATGCTAGACTTAAACCCATCAAAGTGTTCTGTTGTTACATATACAAGGAAATACACCACCGTTGAGTCAGAATACACATTGAAGGGACAAACGCTACACAGAAGTCACAGGGTTCGTGATCTTGGTGTAATATACGATTCTAAATTACTCTTTGATGAGCATGTGGACAGTATAGTAAAGAAAGCGTCGCAGGCATTAGGGTTCGTGATGCGGATGTCTAGCTGTTTTAAGGATGCGAAAACATTTAAAATACTATACTGTACATATGTACGCAGCATATTGGAGTATGGTTCGCAGGTCTGGAATCCCAGATACAATAGATATATCATAAGAATAGAAAATATTCAAAAAAAATTTGTTAAATATTTGTGTTATAGAGTAAATATTAATTATAGGAGTTCAGATTATAATAAATTGTGTGCAAAATTTCACCTTCTTCCTCTCACTGAGCGGCGGGCTATAGCAGACGTTGTCTATTTACTTAAAATAATAAATAATGAGGTTGATTGCCCCGAACTTCTTGGGCAAATTGGGTTTGAGGCACCGGTAAGGAATATGAGACATCACGCACCTATTCACCTTACCAATGCATCATCAAATTATCGACGGAATACGTTTCTTTGGCGAGCTAGCAAGACCTTAAATAACATCTGCGAGTCACATGACATTGATATTTTCAACACTAAAACAACTACAGTACGTCGGGTGCTAAGCCAAGATTTCTTTCTCCCTTTCTTGTAATTGAGTGATAGCATATGTGTAATTAATATGATACATACATTGGCCGCACGAAATTATGTAAAATAGTGCTTATCTGTGAAGACCTTTAATTGGCTAAATGTTTTATATTATTGTCACTATCTCAATGTTAAAGCTGTTGGTTTTCCTTCAAATAAATAAATAAATAAATAAATATAATCAGTGTGTTAGAAAATACATATAAATAGAAGATTGAACGTCTGTGAAGGAATTTTGTTTAGTGACATGATGTGAATTCGCTTTAGGAGATTGATTCAGGTTAAGTTTCAGTAAAATAATCTTTTACAACGAAGTAAAAGTCAATTTTAGACGTTATTAGTTAGTACTCAGATGTTTTTTTTCACAGTTAACCAAAAAACAACGATGCTTTATTCAAGTATAATTTAAACGATGTACTATTGCGTCACTCAAAAATTATAAGAAGCATTTAAAGACACATAAAACTTTGATAACCGAAGAATATTATGTAAGTTATTGAAATGCATGTCTTCTAGACTAAACTTAAATAAGTTCGTTTTTTTTCGATCACTACAGATCCTTTCTTGCATATGAGCTACTTAATTGTTAGGACCATTAACCAAAATAGAAATACCAAAAAAAAAGGAATGTAGTAAATTCAAATAGTACGTGTTCTATGACAGTTCAAGCATAACTGGAACTCGAAGACAGTCTTGTTCTGTGTTTTTGTCAGCCACTCTTGTTAATCCTGGCCTCGGAAGAAGACCTGCAGAAGTCAAAACAACTTGAATATAAGCGGGAGTTCAAAAATTTTTTAATATAAAATATTAGAATGTAACAATTTTGTTAATTTATTCAAAATGTCGATCGGTAAAATATTATCGGTTTCGGTAATTTTTTAAATGTTTTTGTTAACTTACCGACTACTAACAAACTTACCTACCGATATATGATCGACATTGAAGTGTGGATCATAAACAAAATCTCTTGCTTAATAATACTGGATACAACTTAGTATTAAACTAAGTTGTACAACAATATACAACTTAATTTAATACTAAGTTGTATCCAGTAAAATTAGTTTTTGTTCCACTTGAAATATACTGTTTTACTTTTTTAAATTGTGTTACAATGGACACATGGATACTATGGACGCCTGCAGTCACTTATCACCAGAAACTCTTTTAAGTCGAATTTTATAAAGTTGTAGCGATAATTGCTAAAAATATATCTAAAAAAGACTGATTATGTAATTTATTTAAACAAATGTTGTTTCGTTTCTATATAATTTTGATCTAGATATGAAACGAATAAATGTTAGATCAATAGAATTGTGTTTTATTTATTCAGTGTCATTTTCACTTAAACCCTTGATCTAATTAATTACTTATATACACGTAGGTATAATATATGTAATACACAATTTATATTATCGTGAGTTTAATAACATAACGTGATCCCTGTGGTGACGGATTAAGAATACAGAGTGTCACCATCTCTATTCATAATGTGGGTGTCGTAAGAGCCGACTAAGGGAAAAAAAAAACAGCACTGTAAAGAGAAGGAAAACTTGACACAAACTTTTTTTTTTTTTTAACCTGTGGAAATCCCCTCGGACCGTCACCCACCGGGGTTTGCGGCAGGGTGGTGTGTCGGACTCGGACCGACTAAAACCACACGGTGTGCCACTCTGCGCCTGTAATAGGAGGGATCCGGGAACAGCTGTTATTAAGACATCCGGACAAAATTTACCTCTCTTTAGGCGACGTCCGGCACACGCGGACGCCGCCTCTTTCTGCGAGATTACTTCCTCGCAGAAAGTTGCGATCGCGGTAAAACAACTGTCGCTACCGGCCATGGAGCGTACTTCGGCCGGTAGCGAGAGATCCACTCCGATGACTGCAGTGAGGGCCCGGCGCTGCGTCGCCCATGCGGGGCAGACCGCCAGCGTATGCTGGGCCGAGTCCTCACTGCAGTCGCAGTGGTGACCGAGTGCAGGTACTTTCCTAAGCAACCGTGCCCGGAAAGCACCTGCGTCAGCCGAAAGGTAAGGGTCCCGTGCTGCCGCCCTGTCCACTTGGCGATGACCGGCTGGAGAGCCTCCACGGCGGCAAAGCCAGCGCGTGGACTCTCCAGCCGGAACGATCAACGAGCCATCGTGGCTCGGCGAGCGGCTTCGCGCCACTCGCGCATGTCTTCGGGCGGATGGCGTGACGTTTATCGGCGAGTCAGCCACTCGCCGATAAACGTCGGCGAGCACTTCCGCCTCCAAATCCCAAGGGGGAGTTCCGGCCAACACGCACGCCACCTCCGTCGAAACGGTGCGGTAACCGCGTATGGCTCTGACCGCCATTATCCTTTGAGGGCGCCAGAGGCGTGCCCTATTCTGGGCGGTCAGAGTAGCCGCCCACACCGGTGCACCGTATAGTGCCATTGACCGGACAACCCCCGTGTACAGCCGTCTTGTCGCGACGCTGGGTCTACCCAAATTGGGCAAAAGTCGCCCTAGGGCAGACGCAGCGCCGACCAGCTTTGGAGCAAGCTGTCGGAAGTGCTCGTCGAAGAGCCACCTCCCGTCGAGGATCAGGCCCAGATATTTCATCTGGTCCCGAACCTTTACCTCAGGTACGCCTCAGGTACTTTGGCACCCCATGATAGTGGAGTGCTTCCCTGATGCAGCTGAATGGCAGACTATTGAATGCGTTGGCGATGTCCAATGACACCGCCAACAGCACGCCGCCACAGCTCACAGCCTCTTCGGTCACGGCCCTCAGGCGCAAAACTTGACACAAACCCTATACCAACCCGTCTGGCCAGCGTGGTATAGTACGCCAAAATCTGTTTTTTAAGGGGAGCCTTATGTCCAGCAGTAGATTATTAAAGGCTGTTGATGTGATGATGATAATATAAATTGTACATTATAAAACAATATTACAATTAAAACTGCGAAATAGATTTAAAATTTTATTCAATCAGATTTTAGGTAATATAAAACTTATAGTTATAACTTATTACAAAGAATTGTCCTGCGTTACTCTCATAGTAAATTAGATTGGCGGTAGTACATTACTACCAATCCAACTTAATTTGAGAGTAACGATGGTTGTTGTTTAGGAACTCTCACCCTAATATTTTTATTATGTTTCGTAAATAAACCATAGTTCAAAACTAATCTACTGTTACACATTCTTAACCACAGATGTGCTAGTTATAAAAAAATAATACATTTGCAGTGTAGTCAAATAAATTTCCTGACCGAGCGAAGTCTAGTCTTCTTTCTCTTTCTTTTTTTCTCTTTCGTCTCTTTCTTACTGCGATAAACATTTTCAGTATAATATCTTTATCAACAGTGACTTTCATTTTATAGTCAACAAGCTTATTTCACAAATGATTTTCATTTACATTTTTTTCATTAAGTGTTTCTATAACAGCAATAATCCATTCTAAATAATCAGCCACATTCGTATATATTCCAGGAGAATCCTTGGTTCCACATTTCACATTTCCAAGACTTGTCACACCCCATAACTCGACGACCCTCTCTCGAACCCATAAAAGAGGCCCTCCAGAATCCCCCCTGCAGGTATCTACACCCTCAATTCCACCAGCGCAAATTACATGAGGAGGCACTTTAAAGTTCTTGTAGGCCACTATACAAGCATCTCGCTCCCAGAGTGGCAGTGGGATGATTTTTTTGATGGAACTGTAGTATCCTAGGCGTGGAATTTCTCCCCAACCTGATGCTGCGAAAGTGATTTTGGGTTGTAATTCTCCTGATGGCAGGCAAACTGGACGGATGAAATCTGTGAAAAGAATATTTAAGTAAATAAACGATGACATAATCTGTTGCAGGTATAGTAAACTTTTTTGTAATATAATTCAAACATTTTTTGCTAATTAAATTATATAAAATGACAAAAATTTTAGTGTCAATTTTATATTAATTTATTCAATCTAAAACAACAGTCAATCATAAATCTTAGTTTTGTAAAATGTGAGTGTGTTACGTAATTATGATTCCAAAATCTTACCCGTATAAGGCGCTTCGGCTTCAAGCCTCAAAACAGCTATGTCATTAGCTCTGCCATCGTAATCCGGATGAACGATTTGTTCAATGACCTGGAGCTGAATGACATTTGAAGAACAGATGCCGTTAACACAATCGACTGATTGTGCCAAATCGTATTCCCCCAAACGGGCCACTAACCTGCCACAAAGATATGTAAGATATTAGAAATTTGTAACGTTATGACGGCCCTTGGCCGTGGGCTCGATTCCCACCCAGGACAAATACTTGAGAGATGAGCACGGTCCTTTGTACTGTGTCTGAGTGTAATTTATCTGTATTATGTATGTATTTAGAAATATATAAGTATGTTTATCAGCAGTCTGGTTACCACAGTACAGGCTCTGCCTAGTTTGGGATCAGACGGCCGTGTGTGAGATGTGTGCAAATATTATTATTTTTATGTTATAAGCAATGATAGAATATTTACATATGCTTAATATTTACATCAACAGTAATTCCCATATAACTATAGGATTTATTGTGTAAACTTTATCTCAATTTTCCAAAAAATGATGGTTTTAACATAAAATAATTAACAACCATTTGAATAGAGATATTCGCGTAACACACACATAGTATGTTGTTGTTGTATGTTACTAAATACACAGTGTGTGTGTGTTACGGGAATATTATTCTTAAGAGATATCAATAAAGCATAGTTACAATAAATAACATTTTATAGTTCCAAGATAAACCATGTCGGGCAAATTTTACTACGAAAATTTAACTAGAATCGAATTTAATAATACTGAATTTGAAACAGAAAAAAAAATACCTTGTAAACTTAGGCTTCTTAATACAATGGGCAGCGGTGATTACGTGAAATCTGTCAATTAAAGTAGCTGTACATCGAATATCTGTGCGGTAATCGCCCCTCCAGTACTCCAAGAAAACCACCCACGGATTGTGATGAATGAGGCTCGCACTCGCTTCTACTCCACAAAAATTATCTGTTGACAAAAAATTGTCCGTGGGTCATTGCAATTTTGTATGACGTAATTTTTTCTTACGTAATGTAATATTACATAATATTGTATGGAACCATTTTTTTCTTTTTGCAAAAATCACTGGCTCCAGTTCCGATTATTTTCAACATGATCAAAATAAAAATTGTAAAGGTAACAACAAAACTAAATAGTTTAATTAATAATTAAGTGACGTATAAATAACTAAAAAACAACTAATAATATTTTTGAAATAGTTGTTTTTTTTGTAAAACATTTTTTTTAAACTAACCTGATTTAATTTTGAAAGATAAAACACCAACGGTACATAACAGAAAAGTCAATATTCGAATCATAGATATAGCTTAGTAAGCACACTGTAACTTCTGTAACTGAATCCCATGAGTTGATTGCAGGACATTTAACTTTGAAATGAGTCAATCGAGAAGGCAGCGGCTTGTTATATATACGTTCAACGCCAGTGAACAACTCATTTAAAACAAATAGGTACATATTGAAGAAGAGGAAAACGCTCGTAGCAACAAATATAGAAAATATTATTAATAACGCGTCATAGTAGACCTCTTCTCTCTCATTCTCTCCACACATACGTAACATCTGCTTTTTTTAATAAAAGAATGTCTGGTAAATATCTTTATTCTGTTCCTGCACATTTTCCAATTTTATCTGGATTATTATTATTCTTATTATTAGAGAGAAAGAGATTAAATTATTACTATTATTTTCAATTATTATCATTTTACGCAATAAAAGCGGCTGCAGCCTAGTGGATAAGACATTGAATTTGCGATCAAGAGGTCGTGGTTTCGAATCCTGACCAGTACTGTACTGACGTGAACCCATTCCTAACACAAGCAATTTATCTTAGCTGGAAGGGTTATCTCTGCCTGTCTACCTTAAGGTTGTGTAGAAACAAGTGAGAGTATGCACATTAAATGTGTAAGAAAGTTATATATGAAGAATAGAATAGAGGAGTAGAAGAGAGCATAAACCTTAGCTTTAAATGAAAGCCGAAAAGGTGCCATCCTCATTTTGCTGTAGTAGGGTGTTCCAGAGTAGGACAGACTGAGTAGCGATGGATACTCGTAATAGAGTCAAGCTGCAGAATGACTGGGACATATTAGAAGAAAATTCTGTGAAGAACGGAAATTTGCAAAGAGATTTGAATACTTACTTACAACGGTCGTCTATAGCTTCGTGGGAATGTCACAAGGGTTCACAAAGGTTTTTACTTTTTTGGTCAACATCTTCCTGCCAATATCCGGATTCTACATAAGATTAGCACAATGCAAATATTGCAAAAAGGTTTATTTTTTTACAACTATAATATATAGTTTTTTTTCTTCAAATTTGAATGGGACCGGGAATTACCCTACCTATTAGAAAAGAATATTTCAAATCCAAATTTGTGTTACGATTTCGGGCCTAAACCACTAAACAAATTTTAATAATTCTTTCACCACTGGAGAGCTACATTATCAGAGAGTACCATAGGCTACTTTTTACCACGGGTTTACCAATTTACCACGATTTACACGCTTGCGGAGCCACGGGCAAAAAAAATCAAAGGGAAACATTTTTTATGTATTTTTAAACGACTACAAAAAACGTTTTTGAAGTCATTTAAAAATACATTTAAAAAAAATATGGCACATAGGGCGGCAAACGAGTGTCACCTGTCAGTCACCTGTTGTATGGCCGCCCATAGAAACCTGTGAATCTCTCTCACCCACGAGTCACAATTACCTAAAAGTGTATCTTTGAATTATAAATAGAACAGGGATGGAATAAACCCACAATCACATGTGAAAATTCATATGATTTATAAGTGTGGGCGTTACTGCCGCTCTCGCATCGGACTACACAGCCATATTCAAAGTTGGTACAAAGACAGTACTTAAATCATCTGACAAAGATGTGAAAGGCCAACGAACGAACAACTCTTCTAATACATATTTATGATAAGTTTTATCATATTCGTATAGTAGAAGTTTACACTTCATACAACAAAAACATAGAGCATGGAAAACTTTTAAACTGCCCATGATACATCAGTCATTACTAATGAATGGGAATTTAAGTGATTAATAAATTTTACATACCTATGAACTTCCACTGACGTCTCGTCCAGGTGTGATCAGTATCAGCTATGTATCGTGATAATTCTCGTTCATTACTAATAAAATATAAACAGAGCATTTCAAGTAATAAAGGCGGAAAAATAGTTGAACTCTCATTAAGAAGCAAAACTAATACTTTCCATTTGTAGGGTTTCGTTATTCGATTCTGTAATTATCAGTAGCAAAAATGGAAATATACTTAAAATGTGCAAAATGTGATGACACATGCCCGGAAAAAGTCTTGCAATAAATCTACCTGGAAACGAGCAGTTGGACATAAAAAATCGGTAAGTGAAATGTTCATCATCATCATCCATCATCAACAGCCTTTAATAGTCCACTGCTGGACATAAGCCTCTCCTTAGAAAGGAGGTACCCTACTATACCACGCTGGCCAGACGGGTTGGTATAGGGTTTGCAGTGCTGTTGTCCTGCGTAGTTTTTTCCCTTAGTCGGCTCTTCCGACACCCGCGGGATGGATAGGGAAATGTTACTTGACAATAAACAATTATCTTTCTTTCTTTCTTTCATCACTACGTTGTCCATCTGTCTCCTGTCGGTTTGTCTATGATCTCTTTGTCAAGCTCACTTTTCTCAAGAACGCGTGGAAATATAAAGTCAAAATTTACAGCAAATACGTGGTCAGCGGTCGCTTGCAACTGTAAAAAAATCATGCTTCGAAGTCAACGCAAAAAAAAGGACACTTTAAGGCATTTTGCAGATAAAATTAAACCTATAGTGCACTTACTTCTCATTGTCCTAGAATTATAACTTTTTGGAGTAAATTCTTAGAGCATAAGTGAAAAAGTTTGAAATTGCTATTATATCATATAAACGGCGTGAAGGGTCTATGGACCCCCAGTCGGAATGACATTCCTTTCGCTTTGGTAGACGTTTCCTATAGTGTCGGAAAAAAGTCTTATTACACATTTTTCGGTCTCGCTCCGACCCGCTCCTAGAGCGTGTACCGCGCAATAAGGAATTTCATTCCAATAACAAGGTTTTTATATTGGGTGCATAGACAATGGACTATGAGGTATATTATTTATCAATGTATAAGAGTTTTCAAAACGGCAGTATTCTACGACTGCACGGATGGCGTAAGATAAAGAGTAATCGTTCGATGGTTGTAGTTTCACATACAATTTTATACGGAACCCTCGGTACGTCAATTAGACTCGTATTTATCCAGATATTAGTCCACCAAGCTGTAGTTGTTGTGAAAGTTAGTTTTTAAACGTACATGATGACTTAATGCCAGGTGAACTTTGTAACTCCATGATGACGTAAATACACTCCCTTTCTAAGACAATAACAAATATTTACAGTATATAGTATTCATTGTGTGTCATATTGGTTCCACGTATTTAGGTAAAGTACAGTTATGTCTCCTGTGTATTACCAGGTGTAAAATAGTACCTACCATGAAGAGGTTTTTATGCAAATATAAAGACCTCTTTATGCGTTCATAGTTAATATTATAAATGCGAAAATGTGTCTGTCTGTCTGTTACCTCTTCACGCTTAAAAAGGGAAAGGACATAAGGTAGTTTTATCCTAGACATCCCCCATTAAGGGGGTGAAAACGGGGGTGGAAGTTTGTATGAGGAATGAATAATCGCTAAACTCATTTAGATTATATTTGGCATGGAGATAGTTTGATTCTTGATATAGGACATAGGACTTATTTACCGCGATATGTACATGTACAAATAACCATGTGATCATGAAAAAAAAATATTTTGACATTACAAACAGACAATTTTATTTATTTGTATAGATATCAATAAAGCAAAGAGCTTAAAGAGTGTGTTGGGATTATACTCGTTAGAAGTAACAATAATGTGGGTTTCAAGCCAGCCCATATGAAACAACCAGTGATTGGTAGTCGATCTTTCATTATAGGTATACGCCGAGTGTTGTGGGTTCAAACCCCACATGGGACGACACTTTGTGTGATCCACAAATTGTTGTTCTGAGTCTGGGTGTTCTTTGTGTCCGTTTCATGTATGTTTGTAAAGTCCCCCGCGACACAGGATTTATGCCTAATGCGGGAGTTGTCTTTTAAAAAAAAATAAAAAAAATACGTGAAGTTATCAGAGAAACAACTCACCACCTTCCGGAAGGTTTAAGTATTTCATAAACGAGAGAATCCTCCTCCTCCTTTTTTTTAACAGGTTAAAAACAACCTGTTGGAGTTCAAATATAATTAGTTTAGTAACGAATACATATTTTATAAAATATACGTATATGTAATCTTATAAGAAATAAAGTGTCAATGGAGAAATCGACATTGGATTATTCTAATTATGCCGAATCATGCGATGATACGCGTTGACTCAATTACTACATTGCTACCAACAAGCTGTAGTGCTTATAGCTTGAATACACCTCATTCTTTACATAAAGGTATACAAGGGTCCTTATTCTAACAAAACGTTGGGCAAACATTATTTAGTATTGGATCCACTTTAAATTTAAATTCACATTGTAGAAAACATGTACTGCTGGTTATTTGGAATAAATGAAGATTGTCTCGCAAGACAGGTCCAAGATATCATCTCCTACTTGCTTTTAAAATGATGTGCTTAAAACAACTCGAGCTTAAAGCAGAAAGATCTTTTGAACAATGTTTCTATGTTTGAAGAGTATTGTCAAACTCATCATTATTTATAATTTCTGCATAATAATTTACAATGTTTTGAAAATGAAAGTGATTTAGTCTAAGAAGGTGGACTTACAATGAGTTTCAGTTTTAAATAGGATTAGCTAATGAGCAATTAAATTTAAAGACGTTTCAATTAAAGCAGCCGTAGTTCACAGAAATTCTAGGATTTGGTTATCCTTATCAGCATCATTAATTCTGTGATGATGCTGATAAGGATAACGAAGGATTACGAAGATTTACACCAAGATTTCTTTTGAACATTTATTTGACAGTCTGCGATGGCCATTTAGCGAAGGTACTATTTCAAAGCGTCTTTCCTATTAATAGAATAATATTTAGAGCGCTGACGTTTTATATTGAAGCAATAATTCAAACATTTCGATGTCTTAACTTGACCTTTCGGCTGTATTTTACGTCCAAACAATCGCCTCATTTAAGGGTATTTCTTGTGCAGAAAGAAATGAGTTTATTAGTCACATAAATAGTTGCATCAAAACAACAAAACAAAAATTGTTTACAATTTGAGATTGCTCAACAGTATTGTTTGTTGTGCAAAATTAATCTTAACCTTTTGCTCAAGTCAAAGATGACGTAATTTATAGTTAAACACGAGTTAATACCAGTCTGGTTATATCAATGGAAATCCCAACGAGACGCGCGTGCCTTTTATTATTGTTATATACGAGTATGGAAGCGATAACATGACATGGTTAACGGCGGACTTGTGCTCAAATGTTTTTAGTAGAATACCAACCACAACACTACTCCTGTATAAGTATAACCTACTTTACTAATATTCTTTGGTAAAATAATTAACCTAAACAAAATTACTTCAATAAGTCTGTATCGTGATGAGTTATGGAAAGTGCTTTCCTCAATTCCTAAATTTCCTGCCCTACTGGTGATTTCTTTTTCAAATTTGACTTCAACAAAAAAAAGATATATATTTTTTGTATCAAACATAAAAGAGAATACAGTCGAATCGAGTCGTTTTATTGAAGTTAATCCAGTCCTAATCTCCCCCCCCCTCCTCCAGATCCCCTCCAAGGCGGCAACTCACTTGTGAATGTTGAGCTCCAGTGGTCTAAAAGCAGCGGTGGCACCCTATACTATATAACAAACATAAAAAAAAAAACAGTGGAATTGAGAACCTCCTCCTTTTTTTGAAGTCGGTTAAAAAAAGTGTGTAGTAGCGGTGAACAGCCCGCTCTGAAAAATCACTATATAAAGGTGTTTAAGGGAATTTACCAGGACAAACATGATGCGCTACTATTATTTATTTCAGTCATTATTGACCTGATGAAATTATTCATTAAACTTTCTGTTGATGATGCAAAATTGGTCTACGTAAATACTTGTAATGTTAGCCATTGGTGACGTGTGACGTCTATCGTCATTGAGTCCATGACTAACGTATCGTATATTAATTAGAAATTAATATGACAATTAATTAGGCACCACAGTTTTCTGACAATAAAATTACATGTTACTGTCCTTTTGCGGCATATCCGTTCGATAAGTTGATAAATTATAAAACAAAACAAAAATTAAAAAAAAAATAGTTTTAAAAAACTTACTTTTTTTTTAAATTAGTGTATTGTCATCGGTTCTCGATATATCTAAAAAGTTTGAACGAATTCTGACCGTTTAAAGTCAGTCAAAATCACGGCCAAAGGAGTCGGTTACAAACATACAAACAAACATACAAGTGAAGCTAATATAAAGCGTGTAATAATAAAAGATTTTCGTAAAAATAAAATTAATATTGTGATGGTGTTTTCAAAAGCATAAAGGTAACAAATACTTACTCATAAATTTATTAAAAAACTCGTGCATCGAGGGTATCGTACCTACCCAGATTTTACGTAGATTTTCGCGAAAATTTGTAAGTACAAAAATTTATCTTAATTTTCAACTTTTTTTATTTTTTGGTATCATTCCTTTCTTTGTCCTGTAAGACGTTTCTTTTTGCCAAATTTCAGGATTCCTAGGGCAATAGGGTCCTATAGGGGATTGACCTAGAATTGTCAATTTTGGTTACAAGCAAGGTCTTACAGCACAAGTAAAGAGAAAATTACGAAAAATAAAAAAAAATAGGGTAAGTTTTGTTATTTACTAGTTTTCGCGAAAAACGAAATTTGCCCATATCTTTTTATCGTATTGACTCAGGACCTTGATTTTTATACACCTAATAGGGACCATAAACCTCAATATCTGGTATAAATGTCAACTTGCTAGGTCTACCCGTTCCTGAGAAAATCGGTGGTGATACACAGACAGACGGACAGACGGACAAGAAAGTGTAAATTTTGAGTTACGGAACCCTAAAAATGCTTTTTTGACAAGATAAGTTCTCTTTATCCACAAAAAGGCAACTGTTCAGGCGACTCATCTGTGATTAGCCACTAATGGCAATATTGATTAAAATATTAATAATACCTTCAATCATTTATTTAAAATGACTAATTCCCAATCAAAACAGGACCATACTCGATGGTAAAGTACCTTTCCCCTACAAAAGATAATTGTTCTTTTTAATCCATTTTTCCCCGTTATGCATCACTTCTGCAAATACATGTAATTTACACTTTTAAGCCGAAATCAAAATACGGTAATAATAATAAAAATATAATAATATCCAAATCCGGCCGTCTGATGCCAAACTAGGCAGAACCTGTACCATGGTAACCAGACTGCTGATAAACATACTTATAATATACTAGCTGAGACCCGTGGTGTTACCCGCGTTTGTTGTTATAACCGCGAGCAAGGCAGCGGGGCGAAGCTAGTCTAAAAAAAAGTAGCCTAAGTTACTCCTTATGTCATCAGCTATCTGCCAGTGAAAGTCCCGTCGAAATCGGTCCAGCCGTTACAGAGATTACCCGGAACAAACAAACAGACAGACAGACAAAAATTGAAAAAAATGTTATTTTGGCATATGTACCGTGTAAACATACATATGAATTTAGTAAAAAGCGGTTATTTTATTATTACAAACAGACACTCCAATTTTATTTATTTGTATAGATTATTTAGGTACATACATGCATCTACCGTCCACATCATTGCCTACCGCTTACAGTTTTTTCCACAAAGTAAAAAGGTGTACATTTGCTGATAATCTATAAACTTCTGATTATTCTACTCACTAATGGAAACTAAAAGTGCTTACCGTACGAAAACGGTGCTTCGGCATAAATGGGATGATTCGACCAGAGTGATAAAGCGGCCTCACCGAAAACGTATTTTGACGTGACAACGTCTTATAAATTGGTTTGCCGGGTGACACTTCAAGAAACTGCGTTACGCTCCGCTCACGTTATGCGCTCACAATGAGAGCGAGTGAGAGGCACGCGTCCCTTCCACTCGGGCATGGTTAGCCTGGTGGTATAAATTAATGTTTTAAATATAATTCTTTGTATAAATAAATGTTTTAAATTGTTACTATTATTTCATCCTTCTTCCTACTATACGAATGAATATTCACATTAAAATTATTTTACCACTCAAAGTCGTTGTCACGTAAAACTTTCGCCCGTATACCGACTTTACAGGCAACCAATTTTTTTTTTCGTTGCTTTTACTCATATGACTCAACGGTTACTCAAAAGGCAGCTATAGATAGTTCAACTCAGTTGTGCGCGCGGCCCTTTGTGTGCGTGGGCTCGGACGACGACTGCCGCGTCACTGCCACACGAATGAAAGTTGTATATTTACAAGCCCACGCACACATAGGGCCGCGCGCACAACTGAGTTGAACTATCTATACCAACTTGTGACTTGAGTTGAGTTGCATGTGTCCTCGGGTGGCGGCGGTAGCTACTCAGACGCCTTTTGACCAAAAGGTGTACATTTACTTTTAATCGAAAAGGTTCAGTTAATTCTACTCACCAATGGAAATAAAAAGGGCAGAGCGTTTTCACCGCAATTTTTTATAACGCAAAGACGCTATAACGTTCAGTGAATGAGTTATCTCTCTCGTTTTTTTTCCATATAAGTTGACGACCGGATGGCGTAGTGGTTTGTGTAACGGACTGCTATTCCAAAGGTCGCGGGTTCGATTCCCGCTCAAGTCAAACATTTGTGTGCATGAACGTTTGATGTTTGATTTGGTCTGGGTGTTACTATGTATAATATGTATGTATTTACAAAAAAAAAAAGTATATATGTATTAAATCAGTTGTCTAGTACCCATAGTACAAGCTCTGCTTAGTTTGGGACTAGATGGCGTTGTGTGTATGTGGTAGAATAAAAAATAAATAAAAAATATATATATATAAGTGCATCAGTGTGATAGATAAATGTCACACTTTGTCGGTGCAGTGTATTTTACCTGATCACTTTGTAGGTACACAAATAAATAGGTCGTGAACATTGGTAAAATATTGGCTCATGAGTCATTAAGTTTGTCATAAAGGGGTTACGATGAACATTATAATGAATTGAGTGCATTAAACACCTGAGGCCCTAGGGTATGTAGGACGATTTTTTTTACCGATCAAAGCAACCTAATGAGAAGGGGGGGCATTTTGATGACGTCAGATATAACTCCAACAACTGAGTTGAGTTCATGTTGAGAGTGACTTTGCCAAATATATCAATTCCTACTAAATTATTTGTTATACACATCTTTAAGAAGTCTAAAATATATAAGTTTGATTCAGGGTTTGCCATTTATTGCTTATAATGGTGACTGTTTTCAAAGTGAGAATTTAAAATTTACCCATATGTTCGTTTGTAATACGTTCATATCTCTACTTCTTGACCCATCTTTTCCTGACTGACGTTTCGCCAGGCCCTCAACACTAAACAAAGCGTATAAACACAAGCTCATCGTTTTATAGTTTCAGTTTAAATTATGTTTTTGTATTGGTAAAGTTCTGATTTCGCAGATTAGAAAATAATTTCACGTTCTTTTACAATAATGTGGCGACTCCCACATATTATAGAAACAGAAACATACTACAGGGCCATCTAATAGAGACACACCGAACTACGGAGTAACTCCTGAATGAAAATTGCTAATTCTGTATCGCGATATGAAGAATTCTCTCGCCGATTAGCATATATACAACTTCCCTACATCAACCGTCGGGCCGCGGCCCGCCAGGCATGATCACCTGGCCTGGACATGACACCCGTTCCTCCACAATAACATTACTGAAAAAGGAAGTCATCTGAATAGACAGTAGGAATGAGGTTTAACTTACCTATTTTTTCTTTTTTCTGTAACATGATATATGTGATATGGCATTTGAATGTAAAGTGAGGTTGGGATTTCATTTGTTGCATTTATTACAAACGATAGACTATACCATAGATTTTATTCCTTTATGGTAACCCTTTAATTTTATTTTCGAACATAAATTCGAAAGACTGAGTTTGTCTTTGCTTACGTTACTTTAAAAAAAGGAAACCAGAGTAAGGGGTAACCAACAACTGAAAAACTTTATTTAAAATAAATAAATTCTTTTAATACTTTTTAGGTTATAAAATATTTTCATTTTCTTTTTTTATATTAGTTAGTGAAAAATGAGGCACTTTTTTTTGCTTACAACAATTACAATTATTGCTTCTTTGCTTAAAGTTTAATAAATAGGTATATAGGTAGATTTATCTACTATCAACAATATCAAAAATTCTCACAAATTATGTCAATATTAAAAACGCAGTTTTCAAACATCAATATGGTTAATTTTACAATTTTATATAATGCTACGTATTAACTACGTTTTCTGTGTAACGACAATTTTTTGAGCAAAACTTGCGTTGTAAAATTTACTTTAGTTTTTGACAAAACAATTATATGCTTCACTTATATACTTAACAGTTTAATACTTCACTTCGAACGCTACGTACCTACGTCTTAGAATAAGTAAAAAAAGTTTTAAGAATGTTTTCTTTTTTCATTCATTTCAATATAAATGTAGTTAAATCAACATTTAAGTAATTTATTAATAATACTCTACAGGATGTTACAAAAGAGTGGTCATATTTTAAGGTGTTAGAGCAAACCCCATAAATGACGTAAAACAATAATAACTTAATAACTTTTTTTTTAAATTGACATAAAATTAATGTTTCGTATGACAAAAAGGGAACTATATCATAAAAACTTAACACATCTTGCACACGGCTGCCTGATTCCAAACTAGGCAGAGCCTATACTATGGTAACCAGACTGCTGATAAACGTACTTATATATTTCTAAATACATGCATACATATTAAAGATTAGAATTATAGAGAATTAAACACAGGCAAAAAACAAGTGATCGTGTTCATCACACAATATTTGTCCTGTGTGGGAATCGAATCCACAGTTAGTATCACTGACCAATAGAACAATAGGCCCGTCTAACGCATAACTATATATAATTGTCAACAAGAATGTTTATGATATATCCAGTTTTTCTGAAATTTATGAGAAATTACCTGAAATAGATATGAAATTCAGTATAGAAATGCGCAGATTCACTAAGAATTGCATTTTCCGAAAATGGTTTTTCGTAACCCATTTTTTTATTTAAAAAAATCTCCCCAAAAGCTCTTAAAATTTGACCAAAACCTTCTGTAACAGCCTGTATAATTATTAAAACATAAAACAAACATTTATTAGCACACCTTGAGGAACAACTAACTCTATATCATAGAAGGATAAAGATTTACACAAGATTTATCTTGTTAATGAGGACCAAATTTAACGTCGGCGATATGTTGTTGTTTAACACATTAATTTATACAAAACGACATTTAATATATTAAGTATCTAGTATAAATATATTTGACTGACTTCTACTTTCTTTCTTACGAGATCATTTGGAAATTGGAATATTTCCATTGAACAATAATGTCAACGAAACTTAGTACGCAATTACGTTCATTTCATATTCCCACATAATTATTTTAAAAATAACATGGTATGAATCGATTCATGTTCTAAGATTTAATTACTGCTTCAATCCAATCGAGGTAATCAACCACTTTTGTATAGATGCCAGGGTAGTTTTTTGTTCCACAACGGGCGTTGCCACCACTGGTCACACCAAATAATTCAACTGTTTCCTGAACCCTAGTTAATGGACCGCCAGAATCACCTCTGCAAGTATCAATACCTTCCTGACCGCCAGCGCAGATCACACTCTCGGGTAGGACAATGTGTTTATAGGAAGCTTGACAGTCTTTTTTATTCCATAAAGGTAAAGGAATGATTTTCTTATCGTGAGCGTAGATTCCTTTCATTGGGATTTCACCCCAACCAGCAGCGAAGAATGTAGTATCAGTCTTAAGTTCTCCTTTCGGTAAGCAGACAGGACGAATGAAATCTGTGAACAAAAGAATTGTTTTATAAGTCTTATATATTTACCTTTTATTTTATTGGACGTACTTTTTCAATGTTGGTATGGGTTGGCAGAAACATGTTGCACAACAATTGAGAAATGAATGTTGCGATATCTTGGACATGTTGAATGAATGAGTGAAGGGCGAATGTCTAAACAAAGTAATAAGTTCCCTATGGTAGGCGACTCGGTACGAATAGACGTGAAAGTTTTTTTTTTTAAACAACTCACGCATTAGGAACATATTCTGTGTCGCGGGGGACTTTACAAACATACCTGAAACGGAAACAAAGAAGACTAAGACTCAGAACAACATTTTTTGGATCACACAAAGTGTCGTCCCATGTGGGGATCGGACCCACAACACTCAGCGCAGTAGTAAGCGGCGTGGCGACTGCTTAAACCACTGCGCCATCCGTGCAGTCGAATAAACTGTCTAGATTGACAATATGAGCATTATACTGAGAAAGAGTCAACCGAGAAGATTGCATGACAGATCTGAATGTAAGGAAGCCTTGAATGAAGGATCTTGGTAAATTACTAAGACCAACGTATGTGTTATATTTTCTTGTGTCTCTTGAGTTGGACACCTTGAATGGACTCCTGGTTGATTTCGATAGCCGCTGAAAATCAGGTGACCTGTAAGCTCATTTGTCTTTGAGGTATAAATGAAAATACTAACCAGTATAAGGAGCATCTTCAGCCAGTCTTACAATAGCGATGTCGTGTTCTCTGCCATCATATTCAGGGTGCACATAGACATTTTCTACGTCGATTTTCACTAAAGGATCGGTGCACACACCCTGCACACAATCTTTGTCTGATAATAAATCATATTCTCCAAGACGTGCAACTAATCTGAAACATTAAAATTATTGTCTTTAGCTTCTTGTTGAAAGAGAAAGTACTGAGAACAGACACCGGTCATGGTCACAAAAAGAATATTGCATAGAATTTTGTACTGTGACAGGTCAAAACATGTTATAAGTACACCTCTATAGCTTAATGTAACCGTTTTACATTTAACTAGTACAATCATTTTAAGATAATATTTGATTCTAAAATAATCTTTGTCATTATAGCAAGTAGGCTCTTACCGTTTAAATCGAGGTTTCTTAATACAATGGGCGGCAGTGATAAGGTGACGCTTATCAATCAAGGTAGCTGCGCATCTGATATCTACGAGATCCTTTCGCCAATACTCGAGATATACCAACCACGGGTTGTGGTGGACGAGGTGTGTGCTTGCTTCAACGCCGCACTTACTATCAACTGTAACAAAGACAAAGAGGATTTGAATATAAAACTACAGTGAAATTCCAAGTTAAATTTGAATTATGCTTAATACTTAACTTAGAAAGAGTTAGTGAAGGTTTGGTTATTTAAGAGTATTATAGAAGACCTATGAATGAAATAAAGCGCTTTTAAGAATACTGAAGTGTGCGCTTTTTGGAGACAACTCATGTTTTTGAAATTAATAAATTAACTTTAAAAATCTTTTTTAATCCTCATCTTTTACAGGGATGAGGGATAGTACAAAGCGACCTCTCTTTTTTTGTGATATGCTTAACCAATACTGGATATTATTGAAGGTGTGGTCATACTGTAGGGTCTTATATAATAGCAGACCCTATAAATAACATTAATCGCGAACAATTTAATTAAATTTCATGATTAGAAATCGACTATTTAAATTTAAAAAAATAATTTTAAAGTTAACCCTAAGGATATGTGTGTACAAGAGATGACGTGTACAATTTTAATAAAATTTTCAATTTAAAATAGGCACAAAAAAATTGTAATTGATAAACATTATTTCAAAATTGACCTTTAAAGCTTATAGTTTACATATTATCTTTTAACGCTTGCAGTTTTGGGGTAAATATTTAGTTAAGTTACATTAATATTCATCTATACTTCGTAGTATTGATCTTATTTACTTAATAATACTAAGGAGGAATGAGGAAAACCAAAGTTCTGTAATTGGTTGCCTGTTATAATTGCAAAGTAAACATTAAGATATATGGGTTTTATACCATTTACTAAGAAATAAACTTTTAATTTTCTAAAAGGTTATGAATGAAACATCAGTAAAACCTAAGTATTTAATACAAAAAATAATATTTAAAATTTATAGATATGATATATCTGAATAAAAAAATTGGTAATTTTAAAACATAGTTTAACAAAAATTTCGCTTTGAAATAGAAACCTAATTAGCCATATTTTTTAGATAAAACCGTACCGCAAAATGTGTCCCTACCTCTTCATAATAAGGTGCATAAAATTATTGGAATTTGTACTTTTTAACTACAATTCACTGTAAATGATATATCAAAATGGTTAACAAACTCCTGACCACAAGCGGTATTTCCAATATTATGGGCACGCGCGTCACAATATCACTATTGACGCGTGCCATTATTAATTGACGTCAAAAGATAAAATACCACACTTTAAAACATAAAAGGACTTAACTCAAAACTTAAATGTAACTGACAAATCTTTTAAAAGAAAACCGACCAAAATTAATATAACCACAAAAGTTTTTAGTTATATAATTTTGAGTTTGGAACAGTTCTGAGTTGTAGTGGAATTATTAACATTAAAATTAAAGAAAACATATTATTAACAAATTGGATTGTTAGGGATAAATAGAAAATATATTGTGGCATTAATTTGTAACAATTATTTGAATACTTTTCCTTATTTAGTATGAGAATGTGAACATAAACGTTTAAAAATTATGTTAATTAGTGTAAAATTTATTTAGTACTAATATATAATGTTTAATTTTATAATAATTAACTTTATTCATGGGAAACTATTCGAACTATTGGAAACAAGGTGATTTATTAAATTCGTGTAAATTGTATAGGTAATTGACAAATTAAAAAGAAGAATCACTGCATAGGCAAATTGAAAGCGGCTTTTATTATTATTTATTAATTCACTTTTATATATATAGTACATATAATAAGTACATTTTTTATTTTATTTATCTTTGGTAATATTAGTGATTTTTTATCATAGGTAGCGGTGATTTCAGCTATACGGTATCTAGGGGAGAGATAGTTCTGGGTATCCTGGGAAAAGGTTAATAATACACAAAAATATATGGACAAATAAATTTTCTCTACGTTTACTTACTTACTATAGAAGTAAAGAAACACTTAATAATTTCTATTCTCATGTTAAATAATTGTTCACTACTATATTTAAGTTTATAAACACCTAAAATTCATAAATAATTAAACATGTATTTTTAGTTATCCGTAATTTAATTAAACACACTTTTAAATTAAATGATGGAAGGCAACTCAAAACGTTTAGTTTGCTGAAAACAAATTGACCCTTTTTATTAATTCAAACAAAGTATGCTTGAAGGACTTCTTTATGTTATACATCCATCTTAAAACGGATATTGAACCTTATCTCTTAATCACCTTTCTATAATTTTTTTGCCATGGTAGTAGTAAAAAGACTCTTACCATTATTCCACCAGTCCAACTTCATACCCCAAACTCCACTTAAACACAAAACGGCAAACACAAACACAAGTGAACTCATTTTTAAAACTTCTTTTTCTTATATAGAAAGTTAGGAACTATGTATCCTGACCTTACAAAGGTTTTAAGGATGAGATTGGCGGTACAACTGCGAGTACGAAACTCGCCTATAGTTGACCGTTCAATCCAAAGCGCGAACAGCGACTGGTTCCCTGCAACAAAAACATTCATATTTGAACTTGTTCACATTTTCCTCATAATTACTATGTATTACGTATTCGAGTAAACCCATGAAGTGTTTCAAAATACCTTCCTGAACAGTATGGATAATGTATACAATTTTTGTCTATCAATAACGTCTATCTACTTTAAATGTTGATATTAAATTAAAGTAATGTTAATATTTACTGGACTTAGATTACAGACTAGTGTGGGCGTAGAAGGTAGAGGGACGTACGAGTATATTGTACTAGCACACCCAAGCACTTTAGCTCCGCCCTAATAATGACGTCAAAGCATAGTAAAATGAATTAATAGAGATACCGAGTCATTGTTTAAATTGTTTTTCAACGGCAACTCTTGTAGTATTACGAGTATTTTTTACTTGCTATTGTAGGTAGTTTCATCAATGTTACTGCTCTCTTTCTGTAGGCAGTACATACCCTTGTCAAAACCTTTCTGAACAACTAAACTTTCAAAAGCAGCAAGTCGGAGATGGAAAAATGGTGGAGGGTGACATTTGGAATACTTAGAAAACTTAAGTATTAAATGAACGCCGCCCATGAACGAGCATGCCGCCTACAGTATATACCTGCATAGGTGTATTGATTCATCTTTGGAAATCCATACAATGACAGATAAAGTTAGGTATACGGGTTAATTAAAAATAAAAAGTATAGTCGAAATTCATTCAATTACCAGGCCATCTCAAGACCCTTTTATGTTGTAATAGACCCATGACATTGAAGGTTTTTAAACCAGCATTTTCGGCTTTAATTTTAAATTTTATTCGAAAGCTATATTATTTTAATTTCAAATTCAGTCATTTGTTTTAGATAGGAATTTATTTTTGTAAAATTTTTGGTAGTTTTTAGCGAATTGCAAACAACGATGGAGAAGCTTGCAATTCAACAACCACGACTCACTCAATCACTCTTCATCTGAGCTTCTCCACGACAACGCGCGAGCTCACACTTCACGACAGACCATCGCAAAGCTACAAGAGTTAGAGCTAGAAACTCTCCGTCACCCACCGTACTCACATGACCTTTTTTTTTAAGAGAGAAAAAATTCATCACCCAAGAGGCAGTACAAAACAAGTTCGCTAACTTCATCACCTCCCCGTCCAGCACACTTCTACTGTAAAGGCACAAGCAAACTGGCATTAAAATGGCAAAATTGTTTAGAGAATTTGGGCCAGTACTTTTATTAGCTAAAATAAAAAAATATCCTTTTTTTTAATTTTTATACAAATCTCCAACTTCATAGGTAAAGACCCAAATTATTACAAGGGTATACTTCAGGTAAGTATCAAAAGTAGGCAGAGGTAGTCTTTAACTATAGTACTAAAATACAATGAATTAATTTTAAAATTTGTACATAGAAGCTTTCATTAATTAATATTTGACGTTTATCTTTAATTTATTCACTAAAAATACGCTTAACAATATGGCAGAGAAATTCCTGGACAAATTTCAATCTAATTTGTCACTGTGGCGTAGGTGATGAGTTGTCAGTTAATTAGATAATACATGAATAAGTTTGCTTTTTAAACTGTGTGCGAATTATCTTAAATTAAACTGATTAAAATATATTGATATCTATACCAATACCTACTACTGAATAATATTAGAAATGAGATAGTAAACTATAACCAGCCTATTGCTTTATCGGATAGTTATCCTCTGGTTACCATACCACAGGTTATACATTTATACTTATAACTCCTGTAGATAACGATTTGTAACTTCAGTTGAGAGGCGTGGCGATAACGTCATCACAAACGCAACGAACGGGACCAAGTGATTGCGTACACGCCACATATGTATGTTTCTCTTTCTAAGTTTTGTGTACGCTTTGAGAGAGCGAGATAGAGTTATTTGTCGTAACGTTTGTCAAGATGCTGTTGATAAGATAGGCGTTGCCCGCAAATTAATGTACTTCTGAAATGTATGCACCTATGACATATTTTGATATTAACTTGCAATTCAATAACAGTAATCATCATCATCATCATCAACAACAACAGTCTTTAATAGTCCACTGATGGACATAGGCTTCTCCATAGAAACTAAGTTTTGACCTACAGTAATAATAATCAATTAATAATTTGCTTGGATTTGACCCGTGAGCTTTTGATATGTGACGTGGCGATTTGGCAATCGTTGTGCTGATAGTCATATCAGTCCATGGGTTTCTTGCTAAGAGCGAGCCTCTTAGCAAGAAACCCATGGACTGATATGACCATATATAAACACCTGGATACCAGCTCGACTAAAATGTATGCAATAAACGTGACTTATACGGTTCCTTTTGAGGGTATCTTACTTTTTTGGGATCTTAAAAAGAATGTTTATGCTACAATTAAGTAGATATTTTAAGAATGTACCTACCCAAAATTACACCAGAACGTGTAAACCACATATCTTCACGCAGAGTATTTTATGTAGGTACGTACAGAATTCCGTACATCGAGATATTTGTCAGATTTGTAATACACCAATAACAAGGATGAATGGGGAAATCCAAGTGAACTTATTTATGATTCTACGTCATACCAATTAAACACATTTTCCCGACAACATGTGCTTACATAGTAATAGTCTAGAAAATTTACATGAGGTCTGGTACTTGTCTCGCCCTCCACCTGTCTTATGCAATTTTTTTACATGTGGAAAAAATTAAAATATTTCATTAAATACAGGTTCAGGGGTGATATAAGTATTAAATTGATCAATTGATTGGCAATGAGAGGACCACCGGGGTCTTCAGTCGGTGAGACCACTTCGCCCCCAATAAGCCCCATAAGCGATAGACATCCATCAGGATCTTCCACCCTGTTAACAAAAAGTAGAGGTCTGTTAGTACTTTATCCAGAGTAAAACTAGGCTACGATCGCCAATAACATAAGTTGTCGCCATTTGCGTGCTGAGTGTGCACAGAAAAAGGGTTATGGAAGAACAAAGTAAAATTTAAACAAAATTTCAAACAGGTTTCACCGAAATCCTCCGCAGGTAATTATTAAAATAAGGTTAGAAGCAAAAAGTATATTTTATTTTTAAAAAGATAACTGTTACATTAGGAACATATCATGTGTTGCGGCGGACTTAACAAACATACATGAAACGGACACAATGAACACCCAGACTCATGACAACAATTTGACTGCGCGGATGGCGTAGTGGTCGGTCGCCACGCCGCTTCCTACTACGCCGAGTGTTGTGGGTTCAAACCCCACATGGGACGACACTTTGTGTGATCCACAAATTGTTGTTCTGAGTCTGGGTGTTCTTTGTGTCCGTTTCATGTATGTTTTTAAAGTCCCCCGCGACACAGGATTTATTCCTAATGCGGGAGTTGTATATTAAAAAAAAAAATGTGAATCACACAGTGTTGTGTATAATATTTTTTAGATATTTTTTATATGCGGTTTTATGAAGTTAGTTGTTAATACAAATTGACTGCCATTGAGTATTAGGTAACAGAACTTGCTTTAAAGTTTAAATGTAATTCGTAACTCTTACACATATTAAAACACAAATAGTAAACAACAAATTCAAATAACTCGCGATGTATTGTACTGTTTCCTGTTGAATCTTTAACAGGGGATTGACTACATTTACCGTAATTACCAAGGCCCTAGTGGCTGACGTCACTTTCTTCTTAGCGTAAACAATTACGTTTATCTTTTTATTTATTACTAGCCTTTGTCCACGGCTCCGCCCCTGTGTATGTTGGTTATCGCGGTAAAAGGTAGCCCATGTTACTTGCTAATCATTTAGCTTTCCATTAGTGAAAGAATTTTTTGAATCGGTTTAGTAGTTTAGGCGTGCGTGTTGTGTTTAGGTTTCTCTCGCTCGATAGCCTGATTGCGGCTATCGTGCGGAGCGAGAGTGCGTGGAACTCTGCCGTCTCCTTCTGCGAGCAAGTTATGCTCGCGAAGGAGACGGCGGAGCGGGACCGGGAGAGGTTTAGAACTCTCCCGGCCCGCCAGGCCCGGGCACGGGCCAGGCAGCGCAGGCGACTCAGGCGCCGGAGGTCGTAGAACGACCTCCGTCCTCCATAAGCGCAGGCCTGGGGGTGACAGGTGAGGCCATCTGTCACCCTAGCAGAAGCAGGCCGGGGTGGCGGCGAGCGCGTTGCGAAGCGCGCTCGCTTCCAGGGAGCACAGGGAACATGGGGTTCCCACACGGGGCGGGGGTCGTCTACTCCTCTGTAGATGACCCGAGGTATGTCGGGGCACCAGGGCCTTCCTTTCTAGGGTATACCTGGTTCCCCGGCTATTGGTATTGGTATTGGTTGTGGGCCTCGGTTTCCGCATTTAGACTCAGAGTGGTCCTTTATGCGTCGGGGATTGGTTGACTAGGTGAGCCAGCCAAGCTCCTTCCAGAAGCGCAGAAGCCTCCTGGGGCGTTCACAGGCTTCTAGGAGCGAGTTTATATCAGGAATGATATTTGCCCGTTGTGTGGCCACTCCCTCGCATTCCAGGACTACGTGGGCGGCCGTTTCTTCAGCTTCCAGACACCCCCTGCACAGGGGGCTGTCCGTCGCATTAACTATGAATAGTTGTCGGTTCAGGGCTAGATGTCCTGTAATAGTTCCGACAACCATTCTGATTTCCGGTCTGCTAAGACTGATCAGTCTGCAGGTTAGTCGTGGCGTGACTTGATTCAGCACCAGTTTGGACTGTCTGCAGCCGGGTGAGTTTTTCCACCTCCGGTTGTGTGCTTCACAGGTCCGTTGCCTGACCCAGCATCGTATTTGGTTAAACGATATGGGCAGGAGTGGGGTTGGGCCAGAGGTTGGGGTTGCCGAGCCCCTCCTTGCCAACTCATCTGCGGC